CTGAAAAAGAAGTGTTTGGAAACACTGACGATATGAATGCTGAAGGGATTCTTCAAAATGGATTCTGCAAAAATAAAAATAGCCCCTTTTCATTTGCAGAACACCGGATTTTATTCCTACAGGAAATGATATTTCTACCTACAAAGTTATTTCTGCATGGAAAATGCTGTTTCTTACACTACGGTTGCACTATTTTCCATGCAAATAACTACATCTGAATTTTGTGCATAAGTAATTAATTGGCCCCTTGGTGGTGCAGCAGGTTGAACCGCTGAACTCCTGAACTTGCTGACTGAAAGGTTGGCAGTTTGAATTTGGGAAGTGGGGTGAGTTCCCGCTGTTAGGCTCAGCTTCTGACAACCTAGCAGTTTGAAAACATGCAAATGTGAGCAGATCAACAGGTACCACTTCTGCGGGAAGGTAACGGCACGCCATGCAGTCATGCTGGCCACATGACCTTGGAGGTGTCTATGGACAACGCCGGCTCTTCAGCTTAGAAATAGAGAGTGGGATGAGCTCCCACTGTTAGGCCCAGCTTCTGCCAACCTAGCAGTTTGAAAACATGCAAATGTGAGCAGATCAACAGGTACCACTTCTGTGGGAAGGTAATGGCACTCCATGCAGTCATGCTGGCCACATGACCTTGGAGGTGTCTATGGACAAAGCCGGCTCTTCAGCTTAGAAATAGAGATGAGCATCACCCTCAGAGTTGGATACAACTAGACTCAATGTCAGGTGAAACCTTTACATTTACCTTAATTCAAAATTATGAATCAGCTTTGAAAATGGTAGTTGCAAAAGAGTTTATTGCAAAAGGAAGGACCTACTGTTAAAATTACTTGTTGCTTCATTCTAGAAGAAACTTAGTGAAAAACTGCATCCCTAGACAGAGACTTCTGACAAGCCATCAAAAATGTCAAAATAAACAACAAATCCAGTTCTGGTTTGAAATAATGGATCTATTTAATGTTAAACAGTATGATACCTGCAAATCATAATCCTGCAATTTACTAAAAAGATAGAATTGTCATACTCATTGGCATCCAAGAAAGGCAATTCATTCTTGGGAAGGGGTAGATAATTCAGGAAGATTCAGGCATGATTTCCTTGGGTTGCACTTACCCCTCCCCTTTCCCTACAAACTTCAGTATAATATTGACAATTCTAATATATTTCTTCTTAGCCGTACATATCTGCACAGCCCAGACATGTGTACAAAAGCATAAACTTGTTTTTGAAATGATAACAAACTGTAAATAGACAATATGCACACTGACTCCACCCTGTCTTCATTTTCCAAAGCAGGCATTTCAAGCTGCAGCAATAATCTAATTAGAAGAAATATTATGCAGTGCTAGAAGAGTTGTACAACTCCCTTAGTTTGCCTGACTCCCCAACAAAGCAATCTAAAAATATAGCAAAGGCCAAAGAGTTGGCCTTGTTCCTTGAAAGGAGCCCAAAGGAGATTACTTGCAACAACCCTCAAAGCAAAACAAGCACCAATGCCTTCTATTTTTCTTCCTGTTCAGTTCAGGAATACATGGTTAGTTGGAGCCAGTCTTGGAGGTTCATTTGGACTTTTCCATCTCCATCTCGATCCAGGGCTTTGAAGGCGCGGAACATGCCATCCAGGCGTACCAAGCAGCTAATGAAGTTGTTGAAATCCATTGTGCCGTCCTCGCTGGCGTACCGGCGGATCATCAAGGCGTAGAGTTGCTCGTGCATGTTGAAGCCTGCAGCCTTGAAGGCCTCGGGCAGCCGTGCCATTTCTATGGTCCCCGAGTTCGGCGAGGCGTACCGTTTGTAGACCGCTTGCCACTTCTTGATGTTGTTCCACAAGTAACGGAACTGGTAGAAATCCAGCTTGCCCGTGGTGTCGCTGTCCATGACGGACACCATGCTCCGGCAAGTGTCCAGGCTGAAGCCCTGCGACTTCAGGTCTTGGTGGCGCGCCAACACCTTGTTCAGGATGCCCATCAGCTCGGTGGGACACACGGCCATGTCGTCGCCAGCCAGCTGGGAGAAGAGGCGTCGGAATTGGCGCATCTCCTCGCTCTCATTGGCCTCCACGTTGGCAAAATGGCTGCGGGCCGGTGGGGGAGGCTCGGGGGTGTACTGAGCTGCAGCCTCACTGATGATGTTCACCAGGCCTCCAATGAGCCCCATGAAGTTGCCTGCTTTCCCACCGCCACCACCGCCTCCTCCTCCTCCTGCCAGAAGACCCCCGAGGCCTTTCATCAGGGCATTGCCAGCTCCTCCACCTTTATCTCCACTGCTTTTCAGGAGGCCTGCACCCCCACCGCCTCCACCACCCCCTCCAAGGCTTTTCAGGAGGGCTCCCCCAGCAGCGGCAAGGGCACGGCTCCCACTCGAACCAGAGCCAGAACCAGAGCCAGCTTTACCGCCACTGGCAGCGTCCATCAGAGCCTGAGCAAGGAACATGGTGAAGGCTTACAGAGACTCACTCGAACGAAAGAACGGCTTCCACTGTCTCTGAGAGCGTCTGAAAAGAGCAGAGCGTCTGGGTGTGTTCTGCAAAAACAACGGAGCTGCCAAAAGCAATCAGAAACCACTGTGCCCGGACACGTCATCCGACACAGCTGGAATCTATTGTGGGGGCAGGATGAGTCCCACCCTCTTGGCTGCTGGCAAGCCAAGATGGAAACTTCCTTCTGCGGCTTTAAAGTCACACAGCCTTTTTGGAGCAGACCCAAGCAGGCATGCTACGCCATACCCCCATTTGTTTTGCCTCCCTTGCTTGCCATTCCTCGCCCTCCCTTTCTTTCCTCCTTCACCAATATACAATCTCCCTTTTTGTCAAGTGGGAACGCTTGTCTTTTTGCTTCATGTGATGCGAGTCACAAGCTTTGCTTCTGGAAACCATCACAACTGTGCTTTCATTTCAAAGCTGAGAAAAGAGCGCACTCACTCTGTCGAAAAGGGCAAACAGCTCCCCCAGGACCTCAGAGACAGGAAGCTTCAAGTAGTTGGCAAACTCCTCGATTCCAATCCGGCCGCCTTTGGAGGCATTGGCGATGGCTGCAAACTGACTCAGCTGCTCTCGGATATTGTCCCATTTCAGACTTTGAAAAGAGGAGGAAAGAATGATTCAGTTAGTTTTGGTTGCAGATCATAAAAGAAAAGAGCCATAGCTATAATTTAAGAAGTGCAAAGCATTTGAAGTGAATTAATTTGAGGCTAAGGACAACTTGAGGATGAAGGTCCCCTGTGCTCCTTTTGACACACAGCTACTTCAAATCCTTGCCATACATATAATAATAATAATAATAATAATAATAATAATAATAATAATAATAATAATCTTTTATTTGTACC